TTTTTTAATCTACTGTAATTATCATTGAAGATATACTAACATCTATTATAGACAAGAATATGTATGTGAATTGAATAAATAAATTGATTGATTAATTGATTGATTGATTTAAAGTTTATTGTGAACTTCAATCAATTTTTATTGAAATTTGAGTTGAATTAATGTTGAACTTGTGTCACTTAACCTGTTAATTTAATTCTTCACGGTTTTTAATGAAATATTCAAAGAACGTTCACGTATTCCTTTTGACTGAAGTGAAAACCTTCTTCACGCATGGTAGTGCCCGAGTTTGCAATCTTTACATAAATTTGTTGATCCGTAGGTGAAACATATTTTGCGCTCATCAACACCTTGTTTTTCTTTACAAGTACGCGGTAGGTAGGTTTATTAATTATTATTTGTTCAATTAGCTGCTAATATTGAGTAACGAGAACAATTTCGAAATAATTCCTAATCGGCTCTTCCATCACCTTCATGACGAAATTCCTAATTATCACTATCCGGTCGTTTGTTACTTCATAGAACGTTGTTGATTCGAAGCAATGAAAGTCTTTTTCGAATTGCCTTCTTTCTGATGTTGACGACTTGTGGCTTCTCTTGCATCTTGGCCGATCTATGCCTTCTTGAAGATGTCAATTTTTTCTCCAATCGATGTTATTTCAACTCAACGGGCATCGAGTAGCATCTCGCATCTTGGCCGATCTATGCCTTCTTGAAGATGTCAATTTTTTCTCCAATCGATGTTATTTCAACTCAACGGGCATCGAGTAGCGTCTCGCTCTTCCTCTTCAGTTGGTGGGTCTTTCCTGCGTAAACATTTCGTCGACATCCAACAGAGCTTTTACAAATACCCTAGTTGGAACCCTCAACTCGATTTAGAGATGGATTGTAATAATAATAATATACTTTATTATCATTAATAATGAATCTTGTGGACAACGCTTGTGAAAAATACATACATATGTAAGTATATAAATATAAAATGTGAATATAAAAACCACTACAAAAAAGTAGAGTTAGAACATACACTACAGTTCAACATCGATATTTTGTTTCAACATGGTTGTGTACAGGAGATTGTAGACTTTTTCCTTTAACTTTTTTTTCTTCGGACATGGTTGCATTTCTGCTCTTTCGAAGTTTTCGAAGCATTTAACTGTAACGTAGCAAGAGGTATATATCGTTAGGTATTTACTTAGCCACAGGACTGGCGACATCTCTTATATATTTTACCCAGTCGATGAACGTCTGCTCTTCAATGTATTTACCAATTCTTTGGGAGCTTGGGGTTGATTATCAAAGTCTGCTTCTGAGTTGGCTCTGGTATTCCTGATGTATAGCATTTCCAAACATTCAACGTTCTTTCGATATTAGTAAGGGTCCCTTCCGTTCTTAGACTTTTGTATTTGGAGAAGTTATATTCATTAAATCTCTAATTGTTTCAGCAACACATCTTGATCTTTTTTTCTTTCTGCCTCATTTAGTTAGGTTGTTCTTTATCTGAGGTGTATGACCCACATATACATTTTTTGAAGTCGACATGATTTCTCACCAGTCTGGTGAATGGGGAAAAACAGCAGAATAAAATAAAAAATTGGACAGCTACAAACAAGGACAGTGTCAAGCAATTACAGTCTCATTTTTAACAAAAAATCAATTTTTTATCAAATGTTTACCATGAAAATGTATTTTTTCGATAAAAATATTCCTTCCAATAGGCTAATATACTTTAGAATATATGAAAATTGTTCTTGATTTTGAATGATTTCAATTTTTTTCGAAAAAAATTCAATTGAAAATATATTTTATTATCTCTCATTAATATTTCAATTTGAAAGTTTTCTATATGAGAACATCTTTCACGACCGAAGTCAGGATTACAGACAACAAAATCCCGGCTGACAGGCCGTGGTCGAACGGAACTTGTAGTGCCAAACCTTCCTTCTAACTCTTGCAGTTGCAGAAAATTGTATTTAGCAAATCTACTGGAGCAGGTGGTAAAATTGTCATGATAGGCTCCAGAAAATCGTTTCGCACTACCCAACCCCATACCTGGGGTTCCAAATCATGTCCTAACCAAGTTTGAACTTGATAATATACACGGTTGAAATGTTGATGAGCAGCTGCACTTGTTGGTGGAATATTTGAAAGCTGCACAGGTTTATTAAGTTTTGTAGACTTGACGTAATGCATATAACGAAGATGATCGAGACTTTTCACAGATTTCGGAGCATTATAGACTGCCAATAAGGTTTGAGTTCCACTCTCTAATAATCTCTGGGCCGAACAATTTTCTTCCTCAAATGCTGCAGCTAGTTCATCCAAATTTGTCAGTTTCTCAAAAACTTTTAAAAATGATTTTTTTCCCTTTTTAAAAAGCGCAGAAGTTGTGTCACAGCCACTTAATGCGTGCAGAAATAAAATATGTTTTTTAGAATGAGGATAATTATCAAAACTTTTAGTCGAGTATATCTCCGTTTTTACATTACCTTTCCCAACTTTTTTAAAGAAAATTTCTTGTTCGTAAGACAGATTTTAAAGAGGCACTAAATTATTTTCTATTTAAAATGTCATTAGTGTAAATGGGAATGTAATTATATTATGATTTAAGTTTTTCTCTTAATTATTTTTTAATTTTAGTAAACGGTTATCAGTATTAATGAATAGATATAGATTTAATGCATGAAGAAAATGATAAAATATAATATAATAGTTAATAAAAATTGACAAATATTTATAATCATTGATTTATCGATAGTTCATCAACTATATATGGCGCGTTTTCGACCGGAGGCACCGGTTGACCTGAAGTGATGCTGTGACCGCGTGCTCTCCGCCCTCTATCTCGAAAACGGTTCACCGTATAAAAAATTTTTTTAAACAAAATTTGTAGAGAATTTTGTATTCTACAATATTGATAATAAATACAAATAGCAAAAAACCCATAGGAAATGAGATATTTCCAAAAAAAGCGCAAAAAACCGATTTTTGTGACCTTTGACCTTGAAATTTAATAGTTGCTTACACCCTACCATATGTAGGTTTTGAGACAACTTTTAGGGTGTCAATATACAAGTATTCACAGACTTACAGCTGGGTATCTCGAGTTCCGAGATTCTTACCTAATTTAAGCTTAAATGACTGGATTATTCTTCTACTGCGGCAGATAGCATCAGTGGTATGTGCGTTGACTGCAAAGACGAAGGTTTATCAAAGTCTTAGCAACGACTGACCGAGACCACGAGATATTAACCTTCATCCTTGTAGTGAACCCACTTACCACTGATGATATCTGAAGCAGTAGCATACAAAACATACAATCCTTTAAAAGTTCCATTTGACCACGGCCCTAGTTTTGTTATCTCTAATTAAAAGTTTTATATCTTTCTGAATTGAAAACAAACTTATATGAGTGATGCAAGGCTTCGTTTCAGTATTAATCCTGCCAATTACGTTTATCACTTCCTTATACATTTTGAGGTATATAGCCTGGTGGCAGAATTTTTTTACAAAAATCTACATTTTCACTTTACTTCGAAAAAAGTATATTTTTTGGTTAATAATAATAATGGTGCCTGAGAGGAAATTCTGCTGAATTCATTTTGCATATTTCTCTTAGCTTTATTCGGCAGACAAATTATAATTAGCTACTCAGTTTTTGCGGCTTTGGTTCGCTTTCATATGCCAGACGCTTTAATCTTTGGGAAAACCGAAGTTACTTATAGAGAACGAAATACAAGTGGGTAGACCGTGGACAAAATGGAGCTTGTAGTACCAAACGTTTGGTCTGCTACTTTGAAAGACATCATCAGTGATATAAGCGTTGTCTGCGAGGGCCAAGATATCTACGAAGCAACGACTGACTGGCGAGTTCCGTGTTCCCTCGTATTCATAATTTTAGAGAGTAGTGGATGTGATAGTGGGGTTGATGGTGGGGCTCCATGCAAATATTCACTTTTGATTGGTCCGCATTTCTGCTAGGGTGTTCTGATCGAAGTTGTATTCTATTCCATTTATGGTCTTTTTAAGTATTGAATTCCACTTTCTACAGACCCGTATAGCTTCTTCTTTTCTGATGAAATTGTTAGATGCTTAGAGATCTCAATGACCTCCTATGAAGTCACGCTTGCATTAGACCGAGCAGCAGTTTCTTTTTATTTTATCACTTCGTTATGGTGTTAATGCTAGTTTGGTAGTTCCGAAGTAAACATAAACACGAACCATTATCCAGGGTAAAAACCTGATGTGATGAAAATTTTTGTTGATACATCGCGAGAAATCAAACGTACTCTACATTCTAGAAGAAATATTTCAACCTCGACCAAGATCCAGCCTTCAGTGGTAGACTGAAGTATTGCATTACATGAATTACATTGGAAAAGTGTTCAAACATTACAGTATTAAAAAAAATTACAAGTCAATTCAACTACTCAATACTATCAGATCGGACAAGGACAAAATAAACCTTTGACATCCGCCGGTGTTTAGAAGATTTCCTGTTACTAAGGTTCAGTTTACATCGGAACCACCAAACGCAGCATCAACACTAGAATCAAGTAATGAAAGAAGGAGAAACTGGTCTAACTCACGCATGACTCCATAGGTTATTGAGATCTATAAGCATCTCAACTATTTTAACAGAAAAAAAGCTATACGGGTCAAATACTCGAGAAGGCCAGAATGGGGCTAGAATACAACTTTGATCGACGTCACACCAGCAGTACTCCAGTCAACAACGTGGATCAAGAACAACCTAGCAAAAGCCAATCAGAAGCGAGTATTCACAAGAACATCCCCCTTTTTTTATCACCATCTACCAACCATATCATCGCTCCCACCATACTCCATACACCATATGAATATAAGTTAACACGGAGCTCGCCAGTCAGTTGTGTCAGAGATCGATATATAAACCTTCGTCCTCGCAGCCAACGCATAGACAATTAATGATATCTCTCGCAGTAGCAGACGAAACTCTTGGTACTGCAAGTTCCATTTTTTCAACGGCCTACCAACCTGAATATTGTTTTCTCTAAATCTTGGGGTATTTTAAAAATAATAATATCTCTGGTCAGACTTGACTGGTTACATGGAAGAGTGACAGATGCTAAATGCCGCCACTCTTATGTTCTATTATGAGAAATATAGACAATCTTATATTATTATTGAATGAAGTAAATAACTCAGGTGCACCAAAATAGTTTGTCGTAAAATTCACTAGTTCACAACAAAATTTTGCTCTGATTTCCATGAGCTCAAAACTTGAACATTATATCAGCAAATTTTTACTAAATTCTTCAATATTTTTATATTTGTCGTGTAAATATCAGTGAAACGAAAAGGATACAGTTATAAAAAATTATCTTCATCCAACTTATCGTCTGCTAGATATATTAAGATTTACTTTTTATGCACACAAGCATAACATATATACGTATATGTAAAAATTGTCAAGTGAAAAGATTTTTGACCTTTGCCTTTCTCAGATCAAATGGTCTGAACTCGAAGATCAAGAGATTCGCCACGGTCCATCAACACCTTCATCTATCGTAGTCTCGTTATGCGTTTGGTTCTTTAAACAAGATGTAGGGTTTATCGCAAGGTGATAAATACAAAACTGATGAAATATCGAGATTTTTTCTTTGAATTCTGCTGACTCTACTCACACCATTTGTTGAAGTACTTTCTCTGATTAGGATTCGTTGCTTGTTTCAGAACGGCAAAAGAACAAATGCAAAATGCTGCAATTTTACGTTCGCTACGTCGTTGCACATTGAGTCTTTCTGAAACCAGTTACCACTTGTATATGCTGTAAAACTCTTACCAAACTTTAAAACATCAGCCATGTGTGTTAGGTATGGAATATCAATCCAGCTTTTGACCAAATAAGATGCGAGGTCTGTTGAAACAAATAAGGTTAATGTTCAAATTTCGCGGGCTACGTACATTCTATCATCTTATTTTTATTTTTTTAAATGTTGGGATACTCGTCTAAAATATATGTTCTGAGTTTTAGCTGTTTAGTTTGTTGGTGAGAAGCATAACATTTTTAGATATAAAAAGAAATCCAAAAATTTGCATCAAATTTTGTTTAAAAAATAGTATTTTGAGCTCAAAAACANAAGTGCTCAAAAACACTAGAAATGTTGACAGTGGCATACGGTGATTGTACTCGTGAGTCAGAAAAATGATTACAACTGGTATAAGCTTTTCACAAAAGGTCGAGAAGATGTATATGACGACGCTCGCCCTGGACGCTCCAGCACATCAAAAACCCTTTAGAGAAGTTGCTGAGGATGTTGGTATATCGGTTGCCTCATGCCAGACTAAGTATATACAATTTACAAAAACAATTTCATGAGGTTTTTTATTATAAATTCAATCTAACTCAAAGGTACTATTGGTGGGCAGATATTAACAATCCACAACACACAGTCACTATTTTATCCAAGATCGTTACATCTTCATCACAAATAAGCAGAGAAATTGGCACATAATCTGATACAATCCTATATTTTTGACTTTTGACGAATGCAACCAATTACTCTTTCTATATGAATCCTGACATGTGCAATGGCTTTAGTTGCTTCTAATTCAATTGTATGCAACTGCTTCTTTCCTTTGGTAAAAGGTATTTCACTAGGTATTTTGTAAAAGTTCACCCGATCACGATCCAAACGGCTTCCGCAATTTACAACACAACACGTTGTAGGCATGATTTTATGTTATGAAGGACGATTGTTATGTAAAATCAGCCTCAAACAACGAATTTCAGCAAGCAGCAACACAATCACTCACAAAGACAAGTTGATCATGGACTTTTCTAAGTTTTCTTTCCATTAGAACAAACAACATGTGTCCCTACAGGCGGCCATTTTGATTCAATTTTGAGAGCATCTCGGACAGGTCTATTACCGTGGCATAGTACATCAGGAGTTCTTGACACATGGCCGTTAGGTTATGTTAGGTTAGGTCCAAAGTTAGGGGGTCTATCCGCCCCTCCACCGCAACCCGCAAGGGTTTATTGTGCCACATGGCCATACGATCAATAAGAATAATGCCTGCGAAAAACAATACGAAGAAAACGTCTGGTATTGTGGCAAAACAATTCATGGCTTTTGCATCACGATAATGCACCTGCTCGCTTGTAATTGCTTATTCGTAAATTTTTTTGCCAAAAACAACACCGTTATCATATCTCAGCCAAAGTATTCACCAGATTTGCCCCCTGGATATTTTTTTGTTTCCAAGATTGAAAAGACCCATAAAAGGACGGCGTTTTGCGATGATTGATGAGATGAAAACTGAATCGCTGGGAGCGAAAAGTGCATATCAGAACTGCTTCGAAGATTGGAAAGAACGCTGGCACAAAAGAATCATATCTGAGGGGGACTACTTTGAAGCGGACAAAATAGAAATTGATCAATAAATTGATATTTTTTTGGGAAAAATTAAAATTGACCTTATTTTTTCAACAGACAGCGTACTTCGCCTACCAAATATAATCGCTTTGAAAAAGCATATAATACAATGGATACTTGATTAGTCGCTCGATTTCAAGTCTCAAAACACGTTCATCCAATATGAAGCCTAAACACCGAATCCACTCTAAAGATTGAGTACTCATTTTTGTTTTATGTTGTCTTTACATAATATGTAGATTCTTGGTATTTAACCATTTTAAAATTAATACTGATAGTTGTGAATATACTTTTGTGTCAGTGAATTTTATTGATAGTTATTATTATTAGCCATATATGATCTGCTACCGCGTGCGAAGTCGATTCGGGTTGCTTCCTGTGTGCTTATGAAAATTAAATTTTGGATATTGTTTATATAAATATTACTTTAATGAAATGAATAAAAACACTTTTGTCTAATTATCACTAAATGATTTTATTTATACGACCGGTTTCGGGTTTGACCCCATTATCAAGTATAAAAATGAAATGTGAAGTTTGAAAACTCGGTTATATCGGGAGTTTTCTGGTGAGATGTAAGGACAGTAAGAGTCATACAAATCCATATATAACTACCGAATTTTGCAAATTCCTTAATACATGTCTGAAACAAAATTTCTTCAAATATAATAATTTTTATCTGCAAAATTCAGGTCTCCCTATGGGCTCACCATTAACCCATTAGTGCTCAGAACTAAAAATGTCGAATTTATTGATATTGCAGTGTCTTTTCTGCTACTATATAATTACTCGAGCAATTGAAAAATATATAAAAAAATATTTCCTTTTCAAGGACTCCAGAAACGCTTGGCAACCTGAGTTGCCACTGAGCCTTTAGGACATTTAAAGTATGTCAACAGATGATGATATTATAAAGAATATTATTTGAAGATTCATATAAACAAAAAGTTTGATCATTCATTTTAGGCCACCACCATTTCTTGATTCTTATTCTTGTCCTGTAGGTACTTGTGAATTGATCATTGAGATCAACCCCTCCCATATTTGAATTGTATTGAGATATTGGGTTAGATTGGTACAACAATACCGAGAACAAAATTCATCTACTTGCCACAAAACCTCAGAAATATATATCTTAGTAACTGATTCTAACAGATGCATAAGAATATTTTAGCGAGAACAACAAATTATACTTACATTTTTATAGGAATGTTCGTGAGCTCTGAACTTCACAAAAATCAAAGTAAACTTTAGAAAATCTCAGATGGAATATACAATACTTTTCTTCACAAAATATCGGAGTAAGACTTGTACAACACGTTCACGATGAAATTTCAGACAAAACCTAACAAAATTTGACATGCCGTTGATTTGAAAACAGTGGCAACCCATGTTGCCAATGAGCACAAATGGGTAAAGTCCCATTCTGGCAGACATTTTCATGGACACACTAGAAAATACCCGCATCCTTAATAACCCCCTTTTTCCAGAAACAGACAAATTATGTAATCAATTTTTAAACTTTCTCAATAGTCTGCATAATAAAATTAAGTTCACAGTAGAAATCCAACAAAACAAGGAGCTTAACTTCTTAGATTTGAATATTTCAAGAGTCAATAATGGTTTTCAATTTAATATCTTCCGGAAAAACACGTTCACAGACTGTACAGTTCCCTTTGACTCTTTCAGTCCACTCTCACATAAGTTATCCGCGTTTAGGTCGACGGTACACAGAGCTTTCGCAATTCCTTTACCTGAAAATAATTTCCAAGATGAACTAAAAATAATTAAGCAAATTGCAATAACCAATCAGGTACAAATTTCTGTAATAGAAAAGATAATATCAGGTAAAACTCAGGTAATAATAATATCAGGTAGTAATAATATCAGGTAAAACACAAAACACTTATGAGTAAATTATACCCAAACTGCCGAGAACACAATATAGTCAAGTATAGTAGCATCAACTACTCCGGTAAACTTTCAGAAAATATTCAAAATTATTTCTCTAAATACAAAATATATATCAACAGGTTTCATAAGTAATAATAATTTAGGTAGAACACTGTTCAATGCAAAACCCAAACGGGATAGATTGAAAAAATCAGATATATATAGAATAGAGTGTGGCAAATGCTCTGCAGTATATAAAGGCCAAACCGGTAGAAATTTTGAGATAAGGCTGCATGAACACGTGTGTTTGGACAAAAATAATAAAGATAACCTAAAAATCCTACACATATGTAATAAAGGAAAAAAGTGAATTTGTTTGAAGCCATGGATATTAACAAATCAATTAAAATCCAGAAATGTATACCCCTAAACGAGAAACTCGATTTATGTAGGTCTCCTCTCTTGAATTTATGAGTTTAACAACCCCTAGAATTTTCAGTGTTGAATTTTAAAGTTGGCTTCCTGGTTCGACCAACTACCTGTCTTTTATATACCTGGCCTTACAGCTCACCTGAAAACTCCCGATATAACCGAGTTTTCAAACTCACATTTCAGTTTTATACTTTTATAATGGGGTCAAACCCGAAACCCGTCGTATACATGAAATCATGGAGTAGTAGAAAGCCAAAAACTTTCTTTCCCAAAAATTAACTACCTTGTTTCAGTGGCAATTTTGCTCTTAGAAATATGTGAATGAAGACGGCAAAAAATATCTAACGTACATATACTAATATCGTAAATATTATAAATTCTTCAATAAAGGCAATATAAGTGTCGAAGCTACTTTCCGAGTTTGTTCACCATGATCTGCAGTTTTCATGCCCCCTCAGACAGTATTCATCATCAAACTATATCATCACCCGTTTCTTTCTCTTCGCTCTTTTTCTCACGGCTGTCACCTTTTTATTTTTGCTTGATATGTGGGTATTGTTGTGTGTATGTATGTCAGTTACAGCCTCATTTATTTCACAGGAATTTTCATGTGTTGCATTCATTCAATTCAGCATTCGTGCAAGAGTGGCCGTGACAATGGGTGTATACTGGCGAACATAACAACACATCTTTTCTGCACCCAAAATTGTTCGTAAAGCCTTTCTTGCAATTTCAAAAAATTGTATTCAATGGTTTCTCTGAACCAGTCTCGATTGACTCCAAACTATTATTCATAAATTTCCACTCCCGCAGTCTTCAGATTCAACTTATTACCCAGCTACACTTGCACTTGGAAGAACACATGAAACAAGTGGTGTTGATGAGCAAAGAAAAATGTTGGAGGGAGACAAGATAACTGAACTCTTTTATTTTTTGTATTTTTCATGAAATTTTAAAATCTATACCTAAACAAAGAGTTGATGTTTCAAAATACTTTTGTCTTATCAATCAATTCATTACGTTTTTCAAGCAATTTGAATGCTGCAGTTTTTCCCTGATTGAAAATTGTGTTGTATCGCAGCCAGTTGTCGTTTGCAGAAATAAAATACTAGCTTGAAATTTTGGACATGCTGTTGAACTTGGTGCAAAATATATTTTTTTAAGTTTGAGCTCTCCTAGGTTTTAAAAAGTAAATGATCTTATCATTGGAGTTCGCGTATTATTACTAATCCATATCTTCTTCATCAATGATAGTTATATTGGTCCTACTGAATTGTTTCATTACGGTTTCAATAAAAAGGACATCAGCATCATTATTAGCTTGTTTCACAAAAATATGGTCAGCTGCGCATTCTTCACACAACATCAAAATCAAGTGCGATATATTTTGTTTATTGAACAGTCGTTGATTGATCAAAAACCATAACAGACGATGAAGGTGTTTTTGCAGTTCGACAACACCACGTTGCTCTGCAGCTTTGATATTTTCCTTATAAACAGTATAACCATCAAATATTACGGTAACGTTATGACCGAAGTGTTTATGAACACACTGAAGATATACTTTTTGGAAAATTGAGATCGTTACATCCGTCGTCACGCAAAAGCTTTATGGAGTGAAATGACAAAGGAGCTGAATATTATTCGTGGAGCTCATGAAGACCAGTTCCATGAAAAATCATTTTCAAATATTAGTGCAGTCAAACTCAACGAAAAGCAGCTGCTTTTCATAATCAAGCGATACATCAAACTTGACCAGATATATATATAGAAAAGGTTATTATTTTCTGTTATATAGTGAACATATATTTATTGTCTCTATAAAAACGGTGTCCATTTCGGAGAATAAAACTTTCAATATAATTTGTTTCGTTTTAGTTGTTATTTTTCACAAGAAAATTCAACCCTCTTGCTAGCTGACCTCTCTAATCAAATAAAGTAATCGATTTCTTCAAGAGGCTGAATTGATTTGGTCGACTTTGGACCTACACATTGTATGGTCCATAGCAGTTTTTTGGTTTCTCGTTATCCTAAAATCATAAATTCCCAGTAACTTCAATTCCAGTTCTCATAATTAGAAGTCATTGAAAAACGAAATCAAGCCGGTTAAGCGTGTTATTAATTATAATCGTGAATTAGTTTGCGCCAGCGTAATACAGTTAATCATTTAGATTGCGATTCAGGTCGCAACACTGTGAGAGAGTCGGATTATTGGAACAAAACGAGTTATGAATGGACTGACCCATTACTTGATGAAAAATTAACAAAACTATCCATGATAATAATTAAACAATTTTCACAAACCATTTTTATTTGTAGACGGGTTTCGCTAACACCGTAGCTTCCTCAATAGAAAACGAGTTGCGAAATTATTTATGAAAATAATAATCAAGTAAAATTGTTTTACTCTTGTAGAAACAATATACAAAATAGAAGAGCATGTACAGTAACAGTGAAAATATTGGAAACAGTTCTGTTTAAATTCTGTTTTTCCGTTAATCAGCTATCGTCCCCAAATGAACGACAACTCTCAGAAGTTGAGAAACTTGTGCGAGCTAAGGACTAACGAGGTCTTACCTTTTAACGTGTGATTCCTAACAATGGATATACTTTTATAATAAGTGCACGTTATTTTTATTGCAGTAGATGTATTTTTTATGGAGATACAGACACTCTTCGAAATCTGTTTTGATGAACACGTGTTCTCAATTATTTTTTTTATATCACCGAGAGTGAAGCGAACTCCCAGTCATTTGGAATATTATTGAAAGGTTGAAGTGGAACCTCTGGCGTAGAATGAATCCAAAACAAGCCACGTTTCCAAAAACCAGAATTACAAAACTCTTCTCGAAGCGCGTTTTACCATCCAAATTAGCGACTTCATAAATTGAAGTATTCATTTGGATTCAGTATCAACACGAGTTGTCTTTCAACAAGAATAATAAGTATTTTTTGTAAAGCAAGGTGAAAAAAGTTAATCCTGTCTGCCTCGGATCCAAGTTTATCAGCATTGTGCGCGTGTAAGGGTGTGGATGTCCGGCCCCTTTAATTCGTTAAGAATTCTTCAAAATTAGATATTTCATCATAATCTCAGGTAGCTTTATCGACAGGTGAAGGTGTTAATACTCCTGATTCATGAAGATGCAAAATAACCTGTTTCTAATATAGTTCTTTTGTTTCAGTTCTGCAAACGCAAAAAAATGGGAAATTGAGTTGGCAACATTGAAAAGCAACAACGCGCGGCTTACGAGCGCTTTGCAAGAAAGCACAGCCAACGTTGACGAATGGAAGAGACAGCTGGCTAGTTTGAAAGAGGAGAACATGAGGATGAAGGCGAAATACCAGGCTGATTTAGAAAATAGTAAAGGTAAGTATATTATCGTTTTATGGATGATAGTCCGTGGTAAGTGCAAAAACACTATCAATTCTTCCACGTAATTTGTTTTTGATATCATTTTGTTATTCAACTGTACACTACATATTATACCATGCCTAACGTTTGTGTTGCTGTATGTTTTGAAGACACATCATTTCAATCATTTCGTTTATCCTGATAATATTTTTGCAGTATGATAACGAAACTACATATATCTATTTTTTCTGTGTTAGGAATCGCACGCAAATATTAGTCCTCGTTAATCTTAGGCTCGTATTAGTTTCGACTTCTGAGGGATGTCGTTCGTAGAGGTGGTTAACGGAAAAATATGTTTCAAACAGTTTTTTAACAGGTAATTAAAGAAGTATTACAGTTGAAAAATCTTTAAAAACTACAAGCCAAACTACTTTAGCTTTTGCACGTTATATAAAAGCATCCCTTTACTTGAAACACCGATTGTTGAAATAAGTTTGCCCACCAATAAACAGGTATTTTCTTTATTACTACACAGGTAAATAATCGAAAAGCTCCAATTTTTGAAAAAGAAAATATATAAAGATGTACCGTTACATTATAGCCATCAGTTTTTATTTTTGTTTTGCATTAAGAATTATATTGAATATCAATATTGATCTGGTTTAATTTATATTATATATTACCATACTATATTCAAAAAACACTTTAGTGTGATATTGTCACTAAACAGTTCTACATAAATGCAAGACAAGTTTCGCCATATAATGACCAATTCCATCATATAGCATACTATACTATCGCCAGCATGGTAACTCGTAAATGGACTCGAATTGTACACGGAAAAATACAAATTATTTTCTCTAATCCGTTTCCTTTCTATCCATATATTACGATCACATTAATTAAATCGAATTCCATGCTCGATCGAGCTATACGATGTCGTCAGTAATGCTACGTTGGGAGAAACAACATAATTGCCATTTCCTCAATATTTCTAATAGTCCGCCGTGATACTTAGATCTGGATGAAGTAATAGTCAAATGACATGTGGTGTATTGGAACGTGTTACGAAAATAAAATAACATATCTTGAGTTATTTACTTCAGAGCAATAAAATGTGAAAGTACCTATATCAAAATGAAAGAAAGAGCTAGGTTTCCATGTTTGCAATTCAATGTTACATCGAGTTCCAGATTAATTAGAAGTATGGCATAAAATGAATAAAATTTGATAGTTAAGGAGATATTTTATATTTCGAAGAAGTTTATTTTGAATTGTAGAGCTCAAAAAACTGTACTTTGGGACCAAATATTATTTTCTTTCTACAAAAACCAAGGCCTGCTACGAATATTTTTAAAGGTTAAAATACAAGAAATCGTATTTGAGATTTTTTGGGAAAACTTTAAAATCACCATTGGACTGGACACCCTCCAGAATGGTGGTGAACCAAATTTCATAAAAAAATATTCAATATTAATAATTCTGTGGTCGAATCAACATTCAAATTGTAACATGATGAAATGTAAACTGTACAACTCTTAAATGGTTTTTAAATCTTGGTGAGTTGGCCGTGAAACACCGTGCGGATATGCAAAATTGCGCTCGTTTTATTTGGCACTGGGAACAAAATAATATTGTTGATTATTATTGCTGCTGTCAAAAACTGTATTGAAAGAGTAACATTGGATTATGCCCGATTAGTAAGCGGTGTAAAGCGGTGGAAATTAGTGATTTATCATGGGAGATTTAAGTGAGCGAAATAAAATGAATCGGGTGCGCCTTGTGGAGATAATGCTCTTTCGGTAAAAGAAGCTGCCAGATAATTTCATAACAGACATCCTGATAAACTTCCAGTGAGCAGCAGTACGCTGAACCCTACATAGTAGGGTGTGGTAAACGTCTGTTGAAAAACAAATACTTTCCCGGCTAAAACCACGCTGGATATTGAATTATATCCGACATGTATGTAAGATTCCTCACAGAGGCTAGTCTCGCAGATGTTTCTCGTTCATCCAGCAGCAGGACCATGCTGAAATTATTCAAGTAGGATTCAAGTCAGGAATCTTGCATAAATGTCTGTCGGATATAATTCAATATCCAGCGTGGTTTTAGCCGGGGAAGTAGTTGTTTTTGGACAGACGTTTACCACACCCTACTGTGTAGGTAGTTGGGAGAGATTAATATTTCGAAATTTATTTCGAAATATTCACTTCCTTATACGTATGTATCTCTCCTCGATAGTTTTCACTTTGGATTTCTGTTAGAGAATTGATATATGGGATGTTTCTTCTCCGCCTGAGGCTTTGTTCACGAGATGGATTTGTTACTAGTTAACAATCGTCCTCTCAGAAGAAGGTTTCATATATGTAGCGGAGCCGTGTTGAAATTAATCAAGTTCCAGACACTTTGATGTCTGGGTAGGATCTTTCCTGTACTGGCGAGAGATAATACCTCAAAACCGCGGTCTGCAGGTGATCTACTTGAATAATTTCAGCATGGTTCTGCTGCTGGATGAACGAGAAACATTTGCTAGCCTCTGCGAGGAATCTTGCATAAATGTCTGTCGGATATAATTCAAAATCCAGCGTGGTTTTAGCCGGGGAAGTAGTTGTTTTTCGGCAGACGTTTACCACACCCTACTGTGTAGGTAGTTAGGAGAGATTAATATTTCGAAATATTCATTTCCTTATGTATCTCGCCTCGATAGTTTTCACTTTGGATTTCCGTATAAATTTTGTTTTCAACGACACAGGTTGTGCATCGAAGCATATGATCAAAAACAGAAATTATCCATATCGTGAGAATAGAAATGGTGTGCGAATATTGCAATATTTTCCTAATAATCCTCATTCAAATTTGAACCTAAATATTCCTAGAGATGCATTGTAAAAATTAAAATTTAACCATTCACGCCAAAAATGTTACACTCTGAAACCAGGAGATGAAGAAAGAAGGCTAGATTTCTTTTTGTAGGTTCAAGCAGAATATTTGAATGATTGAATAAAATTCTTCAAAACAGTTTTGTTTTGTGATGAAGCTACGTTCACTACAAATGGAGTAGTCTCGTCCCAAAATTCAAGGTACTGGTCTGCGGATAATCTTAATTGGTTAATGGGTTATTCATTTATTTATTTAACCAAACAGGCCAAGACGGCCTTATTACATGGTTAAACTATACATAATACTTAAGGTGTAATAATTAAGCTATGAATCTAAAGCATAAACATAATACGTATCAATGTGTCCCCCATGAATTGCAGGGGCTTGTACTTAATCCACAATAAAAATATTGTGAATATAAAAAAATCCATTGAGACCTGTTACATTTCATAAGGGGATGTCCAGAATGTGATTAATAAATAATTACTGTATAAAATACTTTGGGAGATAGAGAAAAATCTACATTTACAAATACATTGTAACTATTGATAAATTTCATAATACTTATGAGAGGAGCTCTTCAAGTTGAGAGGGAATTTGGTATATTGAACATAAGTATTGTGTGAGTACGACGCCCAGGTACCTTAAAAGGGATAAGTGAAAAAATTTCTGGACTATTTACTGTACTATTGATCACCTTGTAGAGAAACATAATAGTAGATAGATTTTGCCTTTGGTCCAAAGACATTATTGTGAATTCATTTCTTAATCTAGTTGATCTAACTGTATTATAGTCAGGCTACGAACGATTTTTTCTATAATACAATATTCTTAAAAATTTATTCTGTACTCTGTCTATTTTATGTAATGAGGATGCATTCTCCAAGAACCACAGTAATGATGCAAATTTCAACTTAGGCCTTATTAGTGCAAAATAGATTGCTTAGTTTCATTGTGGTAATATTTGTGAAAGTTGCAGGTTGCGTCATCACATATCATATTGTTGTGTTGGCGGTTGGTACTATATTTTCTATATGCTCCGCAAATGAAAAACTATATCCAAGATCCTCAATTTCTGTACATCTGATTATTTTCTCTCCCCCCATCTCATAGTTAAAGATAACAGCTCTTTAGTGCGAGTTATACTCATCACTTTACACTTACTGAGATTGATATGCAGTTTGTTAATCAGACTCAATTCATAAATAGTATTCATTTCCTTTTGCAGCATAACACAATCCTGTACTGAGTGTATTTTTTTACATATTTTGAGGTCATCTGCAAACCAAAGGCATTCTGAATACTTAATAACCGAAGATAGATCGTTTATGAATATAATGAAGGGGAGAACCCGAAATTGGAACCCTGTCCACTCCAGAGTTTGCATGATATTTTCCTGATACATTCTTTTTGTATCTGACAATATATTTTCTATTATCAATTTCACAAAATTCTTCGCCATTCTGAACCATATCAACTTTTTCATATTTGTATTTAGGCTATAAGCGGCTTTATTTAGATCATATATGGAAGAAAAGAATCCTGCAAAAACTTCAGTAGTGTCCTCTTCCTTCACTGAGTTACTTTTATATAGAAAAATTTCCGGCATCAGTATAGTTTTCCTTTTTTATAAACGCAAAAAGGCAAAATTTCCATAAAATAAATGTGTGGTGTGGAATAATCTGTGATAAGATTATTTATCGGTCAGTTTTTCTTCGAAAGTAATCTGAATGGAATTATATTTTTAGACTTTTTGAGAAATGAGTTTTGGGATGCAATACATAACTTACCAGTGCAGGATCGCCTGAATTTGAAGTTTCAATTAGATAGATTTTCTGTACATAATGCAGTTATTGTAAGAGAATGGCTGAATAACAATTATGGAAATCGATGTATAAGACGAAATAGTACTTACATTGAGTGGTAGCCAAGATCACCGGGCCTTACATCGCTAGATTTTTTCTTTGACGAAATTGATGACTGGTCTTATACCCTATACCCTATAGTACCCTTATACCCTATAAGATCAGTTATAAATTCCACCAAAGCACCTTTATACAACATTTCAAAAAACATAGAAGATGAACTGAAAAACAAAATCAACGAGAACAACAGCCACGTCATCAATAATTCAATGGAACTGACAGACAGAATCTCAACGACAAACGTCAGCACGAACACTCAACTGTTCTCATTCGACATAAAAAACATGTACTCCAAACATACCGTAAATATAAAAATCATATCAGAGAAACGGAATCACCAAAACATAAATAGGACCTACATTAACCAGATGGAATCCATCCTCAATACAATACTCAACCAAAACTATTTCGAATCCGAATGAAAAATTCATAAAAAAACAGATGGACTAGCGATGGGATCACCACTATTTAGCAATGTATCCGAAATATACCTGCAAACCATAGATGAAAAACATTTTAACAATAATCAAAACACGATGAAAAAGGAGAATGGTTCGGATACGTTGACGATGGCCTATACATATCACAAAACAAAGGAATAAGATTAGAACAAATAAGAGAGGAGAGGAAATTAACAAAATAAATCAAAAACTGATTTTCAGCGTGAAGGAAGAAAACGATTTGAAACTCAACTACCTGGATATAACTATCGGATACAACCACAACAAAACAAAATTTCAAATGGATATATAACCTAAAGACAATAGATAAATTAGAAAATAGAATCAAACAAAAACAGAGAAACGGAATCACCAAAACATAAATAGGACCTACATTAACCAGATGGAATCCATCCTCAATACAATACTCAACCAAAACTATTTCGAATCCAAATGAAATATAACTATCGGATACAACCACAACAAAACAAAATTTCAAATGGATATATAACCTAAAGACAATAGATAAATTAGAAAATAGAATCAAACAAAAAATACTGAACAAGGATCAAACTACTCCGACAGATAAAACAACACAAAGATAATAATAATAATCGTCTCTATTGCAGCTGTAGTTTCATACAAATATTTAGATAAATTACAGAGCTAGTTGCTGATGTAACAAAAGGCGAAGCTCAACTCAGTTAGCACAAGTGCTACTAAGTTGTTCTTCTACTCAACCTCATAGACTGCATTCACATACACCAAACCAAAAAATTAACAAACATCTTCAACATCACTTATAAGCTGAACACGAAAATTAAAAAAAATAAACAGCTATGAAAAATAAGAAGAAGACAAAAACCTAAATGGAGTGTACAAGCATACAATGCTCGGCCTGTAACAAATTCTATATCTGCCAAACCAAGAAAAAACGGATCCAAAGATACGACCAGTACAAAACAGCATACATAAACCTGATGACATATGAATCAAACCCCGCCAAACACGTCATACAGAACACATACAATATACATTTATGGAATATTGGAATAAATTAATTATTTTGGTTACTGTACATATTTTTTTTAAAAATCCGAAACACGTCAAATGTAAATTACTATTTGAAATTCTTCAACGTAAATATGCTACCCCTACCTTCAACCCCCGTCGAATTACAGGTACAACCCCCAATTTTTTAAATGGGAAGTATAGGCTTGTGATATATCGTTTGAGAGGTCGTTTCATTCTCTATTTATAAATGTTGTCGCTTTCAATGTCGCTGCTTAAATGGATACTGGGGTTGCTTATACAAATTATTTTAAGCAACACCAATGAAAAAAATAATAATTCAGATGTGGAGATGTTAGTAGCTAGTGAATCGATCCTGGGCATGATTTTGCTTCTAGTAATTTTTTGTTGCCTTTTTGTAGTCAAAAGTTTTTCTGTATTTATAATTGTATTCTAATTGTTTTTAGCATGTCATCAATGTCACTAGTTATTTTTAAAATACATGTGTCGCCACTCTCATCCCCCTCAGCTGTGTTGAACCAAAACTTGCAGAGCATAGTTGCCTATCATCAAAACTGTGCCACGGTCCTTTACTACTTTGGGAAAAGCAACTGTTCTACCAGGCGAACTACACCTAATATTGTCCTGTGTTTTGCATTCAAGGTGTCATCATATAACCAATATTTAGGAGGGTGTATTTCTGTTTCAGGCGGTGGCGAATTGGCTGATGAGCTCCGGAAAGAAATTCAGTCGTTGAGAATTCGGGTGGACCAAATGGAAACGGAATTAGATAGCAAAAATAGCGAAATAAAACTTCTGAGTTCGTCAAACAAAAGTACTGAAATTCAGGTTAGTTGCTCTGGTTTTTGTTACTTCATAATGAATCTATCATTACCCTTTTTGGTATATATGATTATGTTGAGGAGAGATGAATTGAATTATGTAAGTATATAGATGATAACAGAGCCCAATAGTGATAACAGAATAAAAGCTCATTCATGATCCAATAAAAGGCATGGATCATAAATGCAACGCTTGTCGACTCTGGTATTATCTAGTTGCTTGTTTGTAGTGGAAGCTGTAGAAAAATAGATTTCGTCGCGGAAAATTACAGCTCTGCAACCCTTCATATTATTTAGATTGAAACCATAATATCTTCTGAAGAATTAGCGCTGCGGAAAATACTTTTACATGAAACGAAAGTAATCAGCGTATTGTATAATCCCTATACAGTATAGTCGTCGATTTTGTCTCGAAAAAATACACCCCCCGCAACCCAACATACTAGATTGAAAAAATTATATCTTCTGAAAAATTGCGCTGTTGCCGATATTTTTACATCTAACAATAGTATTTAACACAGAATGTAAACTTTCACGGCCGGTCGAATTTTTTGGTCGTGGTCTGAAGGTTTTAATGCCTGACGTTTGGTCTAGTGTTGCGGTAGAAATTTTCAAAGACGATGTGAACAATTGAAATGAAAATTAAAAGATTTCACTCCAAGTTTCTTCAAGACGTTTCGATTATTAGTAGGTATCCACAATCGTCTTCGGGTGTTGACTAGACTATTCCCCCGGAAAATGACTATTTATATATCATTCGAGTGGTTTCACCTATCCCCTTTTTACTCTCTCCGCTTCACCGTTTTCCGCTTGATTAGGGATTTCTATATGTTGCGTATCTCTACGCTAGCTTGGCTGAATGCGTCGTTGGGCAACATATATGTAGCTTTTTTGAACTTCCTCTTGAATCCCTGTGGATGATTTCAGCTTGGGACCACTTGATCCACACAGCTTCTTCATCACTCTTGAAGAAGCTACTGTGTTAGTGAAACATGTCGTGATATATTTTTCAAATAAAGTTTGTGGAGATCAAATCGTGAGTTGTAGTTTATGAAAAAATAATAGTAAAGCTACAACATTTCCATCCCCACATATAAAATACTTCTCTGTTTCGGCCTGGTACTCTACTTGTAGTTCTCACTTTCTATGTTACCAGAACGAGGCTGGATTCTATTCCAGTGAATTTTTGTTCATGACCAAGAAATAAAGTCCTAGATTTCAAATAAAAAAAATTATTGAAATAAAAAAAAATAAACCAAACATTCAAATTTCATGTCTTGCGGTGCTCTCGTTCTGCCGCCCTGCAGCGGTGGCCTTTAGAATACCTCTACCGTGGTATCACCCGTGGAGTTGAGAGTCCTTCTAAATGACGCCTCATCTTAAGGTTGAAAAGGTGTATGACTCTGGGTTTATTCACTATCGCTTACCTTTTATGGACCATGTAGTAACTAATAAATCAGAACGTGTGTCTACAGAGAAAATGGACAAATGTTGTGTTTGCTTCAGAACCTATACCTCAGAAGTATATCATATTATAATGCAATATGATGATCGTCAATAAGTTTACAATTTCTTTTTCTTTCAGATATTTCATATGATTTCTCCAAGAGGGTTTTGTTTCACTGTATAATATTATTTAGCGTATATCATATGTTTCACCCATTGAAAACCATTGAGTTCTTGATAAATGTTTAATTTCTCATTGTTGGAAATATCTTTCACTTTCTTAGCTGACATCACATTTTTGAATTTATACTCACTAATATGTTCGTTTCCAGTGTCTACAGAAGGAAAATCAAGAATTGCAGAGTACGATAAAACTGGCACAATCAGAATTAGAGGTTGCGCTTGGGGCGCATGAATCCCAGAAACAGGTACTGCTCACGCTCAACCAGCAACTCGCATCGCGAATACACGAGTTGGCGACGATTCACGACGAGATGACAACAGCGCTGCAAACGTGAGAGAGATAGCGTTACATCGTAAGCGAACGTACATACATCGCGTACGTCTAGAGAGTAGCGCGCGCGCCTTTTTTGTTTCTCGCCATCTTGAATCGCTCGCCATTTGTTTTGCGCACCATTCTCGAGAAGCTCAAATTATTTGCTCGAAGGTGGAAAGTTGATGACGATGTTGTGTCAATGTTTATCTCTCCCGTTATTTTCTTCATGGTTTATGCTGAACAATTCGGTTTCAAGAAGCTATGGTGGGTGATTTTGGTAAATTATCGAACTACCTGAATTAAATGACTGCTCGGTACTCATAGTATTAAATCTCGTCCGGTTCTAGAACAATTATAATTTATAGCCCTAAAACAATTTGATCATAAAAACTTGAGCATATTGAGAGTGTGATGGAATTAGCCAATACTTTATGAAATTTATGAAAACATATTCAAGACACTTTATTGTGAGATTTTTATCAGATAGTTAACAAAACCGGGCAGTAGTTCAAACTGTTGAGTAAAAATTCCATGATAGAGTGTTATTTAAATATGTTGTGTGGTCCAGGTAGATTGAGAGGACAGTTGAATTTTCAAAAACCATCAGAATTTTTATTTCCAAATAATATTGTTATAATGCTAGAATTCGTACATAGAAGATGATTAATACTTTCAAATAATTTCAAGGTAATACATTATATGAATGCTTTGCTTTATCATGTTAATGAAATTATGGACCTAGAAACGTTCAACAGTGGTGTTGTTTATAACGGATGATCGGGTAGGAACAGTCTCAACAATGCATCAGGCTGGCTCAACTACATTTAAAGTACTTGGAATACACTATTACAATTAAAAACAATTGTCCTCCATGATCTAGCCATGTGGTCATGCACACCAAGTGACGCATGTGCATTACAATATATCAAGTCTGAAGTGCCTAATGCTTCACTGGATAAGTTAATTGATTTGTTGGAACACTCCATCCATTTTCTCTTGAGTTTTGTGACTTCATATGAATTGAATCTCATTAGTCACCGCTTACCTTTTCCTGATATAGGTACTTCAGGCTTCCTTCAAGTGCCAGTGCTAGCTGAAACCACATTATTTAAAATAGAGCTCCCATCTATGTGACTCATATTAATGTGTACTTTATCATGTATGAATTCATCAATATTGATTTCTGGTTCTTCCCTACAAGTACTTTTGGCCTCGCCAATATCAGTTTCCCTATCGCTTTTTGGCTCAGTACAATAAATGTTTCATTTGGGTTAAGATTTGTCTCACCGCTTAAATTTTTGTCATACTGAATAGTACCATGTGATACTTGCAACAATATACAATTTTTACTACACTTCTTTCGTCTTTATTTTGTACTATACATTTTCTCAATCTATGATGGTGTCTATTCTTTAACCCTTAGATTTATGTAATCCCCTACCAAGATATCGTCACCTACTTCAAAGCCACGTTTTTTCATTTTCTCCAATAAATTTGTTCTTCCTGAGCTTCTGTGCTCCTTTGGATATCGTCCACATCGCTATTGTTGTTTCTCTTTGATGAAGATAGATGGTTCAGCCTAGACTTTAATTTGCGGCCAAACATTACTTTAGCTGGAGATTTCTTCATTGTGCAATGCTCTGTATTCCTGTATGCCAAAAGAAATCTTGATATCAGTATATTGATTAGCGCACTCTTTATTTTTGGGCCATACCATGCCGCCTTTAGTTTACGTTTCAAGGATTTTATAGCTTTTTCGGCTGTTTTTTTACACTCTACATTACCAACATATTTTTATCTAAAAAAACCTTACGATTTCTACAAAAAAAAAAATTATTAGAGAACTCACAATTTAAAACGCTATGCATGTTACTTTCACATACATTACATATATTTTTGTTTCCTTCAGTCTGTTTATCATTTCCGTTCCTTCATCTCTCTAATTCACCGCACTTGACCCCCGTGACGACAGGCGAATACTCCCCAGTATCACCAACTCTGAATATCCGATGACTTCTCCGCTGTAGCCGTTGATAGTGGACTGTAAAACTTTAGTTTTTCAAAGGTGTGTTTCTTGGAAAGATTCGGGAAAGCCAAATCCTGTGAAACAGTTAATAAGTTGACGTACCTATCAAACTCACTACTACATTGTTTTGTCTTCTTAACCGTTGTCTTGCGGACACTGCTCCAGTTTCTCCTTATAAATGTGCCAGTCCTCTGTATTGTGGTTGAACTGACTCACATGTCCCACTAATCTACTCATGGTTGCTGTTGTTCCACCACCTTGGTTGGTAGTAGTGGTACTTGCCGGTACTGGAAAAGTGTCAAACTCACCGCCACTGTTATGTTTATAACCAGGTCGGCTTAATTACGTTTAATGAAATATTCGACTACAAAGAACACCGTTGAACAAGTCGTAAGTGCCTAATGCTTTGCCGGGTGGTAACTTAAGTGATTTGCTAGAATTGGTTTCACAGTTCTTCCACAGTTCTGTTAATAAATCTGCAACCACACAGTCCACTTTTTTTAATGTAAGGTTAATTTCAATAATAACTTAGTTTTTCTGTAGTTTCACACTTACACTTAATTTTGTTATTGATAATGTATAAGTTTGAAAGATTTTGAGAAGTGTTGTGTAACCAAATGTTTGTTTTTTGAAATAATTCAAAAATAGCTGTAATTCGAAGTGTGAAAAGGTGAATCTTGTGGCATTCATTTTTATTTTGCAGATAATTTCATGGTTTACCAAAACAATTCTGTCTCGCCATTGTCGCGTTATTGGCTGTTAATCAAATTACATCTGACACAGTTTTTTTTATTCTGAAGAATTTGAGAAAAGTGGATGTTAGCAATATCTTTGAAAAATTTGACTTTCCTCCTATTTCAATGAAGTGTATGATCTCAATTTATTGAAACAGATATCAAATATAGTCCACTTACTTTGTCAAATGGCTCTATTTAAAGTATCTTGCTAAGTTGTTATTAAAATGCCGTGCTTTAAGTTTTTACAAATTTGTCCAAGAATAAAAAAGGCTTTTCCACAGCAAAAATCCAACATGCCTAAATTGGAAACTTTGCATGCAATCATCTTGTGTTATTTTTTACTCTTTTTGTTGTTTATTCCGTGAGACAGTTCAATACACAGGAAACAGCGCGATGACCATCGGTTAGCCGTGTTTTGGGAAACAATAGGATTCATATCCTGAAACTTGGAAGGCAGATATTGGTTTTTTAATATGCTTTATCTATTGAAAATAATGGCGTTTTTCTGGTTATACCGGAAGTTTGTACCAAATTGCTGTATTCTTATGTAACACCCTGTATATTTTCCGCAATTTCAATTGATAAATTATCTGCTGCAACTATCACAACATTTTGTAGTATGTTTCGGTATCCTTAATCATTCAAATGTTCATCATAGATGTATGAACACAGAATCCTGTTGTGCTTTGTATCACAATAAATATTAAAACCTTAACTTTTTTGGAAATATTGGTTACTATATGTGTCTACCATCTCAAGGATTTTATTTTATATCAGCCTCTATATGTGTCTACCATCTCATGATTTTTATTTGTGATGTATCCTATATGTTGTATATGATCTGAAAGGATTAAATGAAGATTATTATCACTGATAAATAATCCACTTTTGGTGAACAAGGATTCATCACTACATATACTATTTTTAAGAAAATGTGGATCTTCCTGACTTTTTATCAGCAACCATTCACAAAACACAATTCGACGATGGAAATCCGTTTTCAGTTTGTAGGCAAAATTTATGAATACGACAAGTTACTGACTAATCACTTTCCAGTAGTTTATATTATGCAGTAACTCTTCAACAATGAAACTCCGAACTGATGAAATGCAAAAAAAAACGGTATAAAATATTGAGTCCTGCACAAAAAAAAGTCGTCCAAACATTATTTTGAACTAGTTTTTATATTCTGTGTGGGAAAACAATGCAATGTACAGATGGTTCCATTTGAAAAAATTGAATTTTGGCCCATTTTTATATCTTCAGAATTAGTCATCGGTTCCAAACATGTATAATATTTTGGACGATAGGATGAAGTATTTTGACGAATCAATAATATCTTATTTATGTATTTTATCAAACTTTTTGAATTTTATAGGGGAATCACTCGAGAGCCAAATACCTAGTTTTTTTGAGTAAACAAATGAATATCTCCAGTGCGGTTAATTTTTTGTATAGGGTGTATTAAACGTACTCACATTAGAATTATGTCATGTATTCAAAAATGTGAAAATATACAGGGTGTTACAAATTTACGGTAAAACCAGAAGTGGAAAAACGTCATTATTTTCATTCATTCAAGTATATTAAAAAACCTATATCTGCCAACTTTTAAGATATGAATCCTATCATTTCTCAAAATATGGCTATCCGAAGGTCATTGCGTTGAACCCAGTATACATTTTATTGAATAATATAGAATTTACCTATTGATGCTTTTAATAATATTATGATCTCTAAAAATGAAAGTAACAGTAATTAAACTAGAAGGAATTGGTGCACAAGTACCAAAAACTGTTCCTCCTCAATTTTTTCATATGATTCTCTCTTTACATTGCCCTACTGGTTATCTGTATCTGTAGAGTAGGGAGGGTGAGTGTAGAACCACAGTACTTAGGCCACATATGACCCATTGTACATCCTCCTGAGGAAAAGGCCACTTGGAGACATCTCCTTTATATTAGCAGGTGTAGGTCAAGACTCGCCGAACACACAGCGAACACGCAGCGACATTATTATCGTTGCGCGGCTTCTTCAACCTTCTTGGGGTTCCCTTCGTGGAGGTGCACGAGTGCGGAACTTTTCTGCAGAGGCAGCCAGTTCCTTGCCTTCATTCAAGGCGGTGCTGTTGGCGCCCGCCGCAAGAAGTGACCTTGCTTTTAGACGTGGAGTGGGGGAAGAGGAGGGTGAACTTATAGTTGCTGCCACTCCTGCCTCCTTCACTCTCTTTCTCCTTCTGGCCTCGGCGCCGCAAATGCGCTTACGCCTTGACCTTTGTATTACATCACGAGATGATCTGCTATGTCCAGCCTCATTCCAAGCGGTAGATTGGGATGGACATTTCTGTTTATCCCCAGCCACCGCCTTAGATTGAGGTGAGCACTTCTGTCCAGCCGTCCAGCCTTGGAATTGGTTTTTGTTTGTTTCATTCATGTGTGTTCCCACGAGTAGCAAGGGAAGAGTTGGTCACCCCTGGCAGTCCCGCATTACCACAGGTAGGCTGATTACAATGAGGTTTCGCCCAGTTCCCCAAGGGGATCGTTCGTAACCGCATATCACCCTGCGGCCATTCAGCTGTCGGCAC